ATATATATATATATATATATATATATATATATATATATATATATATATACATATATTTGAGATAAGAAAATTAGTACATTTTTTTAATAAATTTTGTTTTGACACAATTTTCTTTATTTTTCATTCATTTTGGTACGAGATTAAGGATAGATTTTGAGCGAGGGTTTCGGATGAATATTTTGGTACGATTATTCAAAATTTTATATAGACGTATTATGTACTTAAGGGGATGGATGATATCGACGTGAAATACGAGAGGGGTATCCTCGTATCAGTACCAAGGAATCCAGGGAAAAATTGATATTAGGAATATCCAGAGTACGAGGGTAAAAATATAAAAAGATTCGCGGGTTTTTCTCAATGCCAAACGGTAAAGCCTCCAAGGGTGGTGTTAATGGACGTACTCGCTGTTAACACCCTTAAGTCCAGGTTTCGTGACTAAAGGCCAGGGTAGTTTCACCCTGATACATCACTGTACACCCATACAAACACATAGGCAGGAGGAATCTCAAGAAAGCTTCTAGTGGTTTCGATATATATATATATATATATAGACGCACCCCATAAGGGAAGGTTGGCAACAGGGTTGCTGTACCGGAAGACGAAGGGGGACGCGCGTCCTTAGTGAAGAGCAGCGTCGGAAAAGGCGTCGCATCGAATGCTCCCTCGGATTGGTGGGGGAAGGCCAATCAGCAACGCGCTAGCTCATTATCGCCAGACACCGTGGAGGGGAGTCCAAGAGTCTCCCCACCACTGTAGACGGATTCTGAAATGATCCCCACCCTGGAAGACGAAGCAGGGGAAGGGAGGAGCCCCAACGGTTTCAGTCGTCGCGTCGCTGCCCTCCAGCATTCACGCCTCCCGTGTCCGTTGCACGGCTCCTCACACACTATAGTCGCGGGACTTTAGCACACTAACACCTCCGTAGGTGTGGGGGTGAGCCCCAGAGGAGGTGTCAATCCTAGCGCTGCTCAGTGACCATCGCGGCGCCACCCAAGTAACACCTTCGGCTTAGAGCCGCGCTCGTGAAAACTTCCACGTACTGGCTGTGAAGCGACTACGAACGTATCTAGAGAGAAAAAGCCTGCGCCGGGCCCCTGTAAACAAGTCGGCGAAACGAAGCCTTCTGCTCGCCGTGAAGAAAAAGTATTCACCGGTCACAGTCCTCACGGGAATAATACATGACCGGCCGCGGTACGAGAGCGGGCTAAATCCTAGTATTCGTGTACAAATAGTGAGCCGCTGCCGACGGCAGACGTATTTCACTTGGTTCGCAACGTCAGGCGTAGTAGCGCAACATAAAGTATCGCGTCGGGATATTCGTGACTCTCGAAGAAATTTTGTTCATGTATCGTAAGCACTGGAAGTATCGAGGTATTGCTAATCGGGATTGTTAGTGATATAGAGGTATCCAGTTGGCCACGGGATTTGTTGCTGTCACTTATCTCAGTGCCAGAGAAAGTTGGGATTGTGCAAATTGGGCCTGAGGAATAATCGTGATTTTTGGTCGCGTGAGAAAGAAAAAAAGAACGGTGAGCGACGGCTACTTGGGTTGGGTATATACGGATATGTGTGTGACCATTGTGAAGATTTTGACATGGAAGTGACTCTGATATTAAAGATTTACATGGGCCCGAGGCCGTGAAGAATTGTGCGCGAATCACTCGATTCGACTGGCCCATAGGTCAATGGGCCTGTTTCCCTGTGAACGCTCATTAACCTAACTTTAAATTGTGTCCGCAGTGTCTCCGGCAAGATATTTGCTTAATGACAGGATAATACGATTCGAGAGTGTGCGAAATTCGCGGGAATTTTGATCAGTCGAAATTACGTAAGGCGAAAGAGCATCGGTGGAGTGTCAGCTCCTCCAATGGAATACATTCTCATGAAGAGAACAGAATCCGTAACTCCTTCGCGGGAGATATCGCAAGGAAGAGGATCTTCCTTATCATCGACAATGCCCAAGAACTAACAAGTGAAAGATATTCGAGAAAAGAAGAGCGCGTCACGCGAACAATTTCGTTATAATGTGAGTGATAATCGTGACGAGACTGTCTTCCTGCTTGATAAGGTGAACAAAAATTGAAGTAAAAAAAAAACAAGTCAAGTGCGTATCGGCAGTCCAAGGATAATGTCCGGGACATCGAGGAGGACCACAGCGTCTCTCCTCTGGTCCTGCTAAAGAGTACAGCCGCTCTTGTAAAGCAACCTTCACCGCGTGACAGGTCACAATAACAAATCCCAAGCCAGGAGCAAGCCCGAATTAAAAGCATAAAGAGCCAACGCAACAACAAGCTCCAACGGAAGGAGTCCAAGGGAACAAATAGAGACAGCAAAGAAGTAAAAAGAGCCGCAGCTTCGCCAGGCTCTTTGCTTTCTTGAGTCACTCGAAGAGGAATCTCGCTTGACTCGGCACACTCGCCATCTCGATGAGATTCGAACAAGACACGGCGTGCAGGGGTACCCACTGCGCCAGCACTCCGCTACCACTGCAGCGAACCCGGCAGCCGGAGGAGGAGGAGTCGGAGCTGGAGGATTCCGCGAAGGAGGTCGAGGGTCAAGCAAGAGAATTGGAGGCTAACGTGGTCGAGGGTGCCAAGACGGGGCTCAGGAGTGAGGCCGCGGGGCCTGGGATGGCGTACCCCGCACCAGCAACGGCTCTGAATCAGCACTCACCCTTCTCGAGCTCGATCTCGAGCACGACGACGAACCCGGGTGTCCACCTGGGCAGCCACTTGCCGGCACCGGCGGCACCCAGGCCAACGGACTTCAGCGTATCGTCCCTCCTGACAGCCGCCGGCACGCATCCACCGGTCTTAGGTGGCTCCTCGTCTCAAGGGAGCGCGTCGCCGCCTCCCGGTGGACCCGGCAGTCCGGCCGCGGCGCCGGAAACGCCGCCGCCGTTACCAAGTCAAAGGGAACTCTCGCATCCATCCTCGGCGGTCACCGCGGCCAGCTACTTCAGCGCTGCGGCTCTGGCCGCTGCCGGCTTTTACAACCCTGGGGCACATCTACCGCCGACCAGCTCGCCAGGACCTACCGCTGCTCATCATCTTCAGGCGAAGAGCATACTAGCTGGGCAGCATCATCATTCTCATCTTACTCACGGTATAACGCCACCCGGTGAGGTTACGATTATTAGTCATCGCACCTAGATCATCCCTTAAGGATCTTCCACCACGTCACTTAGGATTCCTAAGTGCACGAGACATTATTATTTTCGCTTGGACACGTAATCTATATAGGGACAGTTTGTTGTGGTCGGCTGTAGAGACTAAAATTTCCAAGTACACGCATTGGGAATCCTTAGACCTTTCGGTAGAGTCGGTAAGAGTGACAGGAGGAATCCTCCTTGCGGATTCCAGGACTGTGTGTACCTTATACCACGGATCACACACGTATCCCTATGCAGACGTGTATGGCCATGTAGCATACGTGTATTACGATCGGTTTACCAGGGAATTCGCGGATTTCACGTAACACTAGACGACGACGTAGTCGGCGACTCGACGAATCTCCAAGAAACTTGCGGGACTCGTTGCGGCGACGAGGATCGTTAGAAAGGTTGGGTTAGGCAGAGAGGTACTGCTACTTCACTTTCAGGTCAGGTTAGGTTTTGACGTAGCCCAACTCGAGGATAGGTGGTTTTGCGGTTTACTTTTGGCTGATTATATTCAGGGGATTTCGTTACGTCGAATTGACTCGTTAGTATCCGACTTCTCTCGCGCATGATACTAAATAATATAATCGGTGTAATATACCCCCATTCACGAATTTCAAGAGCGTTGGTTATTATTTAAAAAAAAAATATTAATTCAAATATCGACCGATTGAACAAAAAACACAAAAACAATCATTTACGACATAGCACGTCGTCTTCGTCGAAGCATACCAATTCGTAGGGCGTGAATGGCCAATTATTTAGCAGCCGATAAAATTTCCTCGGCTACAAATTCTCATGCAAATTCCTATGCGGCTCCTCTGTCCAATGCCAACTTCCAGCTGTCTCGATTAGAATTTCGAGGTTTCCGGTCCAAAGTACTGAATCGAACTAAGGCATTTCTACGGTACTACAGAACTGTTTACTACCGTTACTCTTAGCACTACTATGCCCCCAAAGCTAATTAATCCGAGTAGCAGCTTAAGGACACTCGCTGTGATCTACCGTGCGAAACAGAATTCAACAGGAATATAGAGTGTTGATAATTTCAAAATCAAATAGTAACATTCAATATTTCACTGACGGTCTGCCGGAACGTCAGTTATATCGACTGTACACAGTCGGGCAAGTAAATCGCCCGGGGTCGCGACACGTGCAGTAGATCTGTGGCCAGAAAGGTAAATAGGAAAATTTCTACACGCTATAGATTCTTATCCACGCGTTCTCAATACGTCTAGATATATAAATACACACCGTTTCACGTCTATGAAAAAGTGCGTAGCATGCGTAAGACCAGTGTACCGATGTCTGCCGACGATATTTCTTCTCTTGGCTAGGCTACCGGCCAACTCGAAGCCTAGTCTCAGCAGCAGTGATTAATCTTGCCAAGGGCATGACTGACGCTTCTTGCATTCGAAATTCGCAAGTGCATAATTCTTGTGGCACGTTGAAGAAAAAACGGAAGTAGCTATGTAGATATATTGGCGGACGGGG